GGATTACCTGACCCACTTGGCCATCATAGGCCGCGATCGATGCCGTATTAATAACAACTCCACGAAAGCCCAAACTGTCCTTGTTTTTCAGTGCAAATGTCTCCAGTGCATGCTGGATCACATTGAACGTACCCATCACATTGATCTGGAATTAAAAGCAGGCTTTTGTACAGCACTCATAACAACACAGGCCAGTACCTTTCAGCGTGCACTCAAATCTGAGCAGGAAAGCTGTTCATTCAACAAGACGCACAATCGAAAAGACTTACATCGAGTGTTTTTCGAATAAGCTCCATGTCACAAGTCCTTTTCTTCTGCAAATTGTACAGTTTGAATGGATAGGACACTCCGGCACAGTTGACAACAGCATCCAGCTGTTCAAATCGATCGACAAGAGAACGAAATGCATTGGAAACTTCCTCAGGCGACCGCACCTTCAATGCAATTCACATAGCGCCGCAGAACACTTACCAGCATTTGAGACAAAAATTAAGAGCAGCTGCTGGACCAACGACACTGCTTCTCAGCTCACCAGCGAACAGATGAAGCGGACACCAACCGAAAATCACAGAAAACGAAAACGATGCAGCAGCCGCAAAACAGGCCCGCATAATCACACTGTGGCACTGGAGCCCCACGCACTGAATACCCGGATAGGCTTGGTAAAAGGGCCCCGAACTGCTCGCCTCCAGCTTGTGCTTATCGTCCCACGGTGAGTGTACACCTGCGTAAGGCGGCTGCCTGCTTTGAGCCGCTGCATTTCAGCTTATCAAACGATAATATGCACCACCTTACCGACAGACCGCGCGGAACCATAATCCACTGCTTTCCATAGCACATTTGCCACTGCGCAAATCTTACACACACACACAAAAACACACACACACAAGAACACACACACACAAGAACACACACACACACACACACGGGATGCACCAGACAAGCGACAACAATTTGGCCGAATGAATGCGTTACATCGGCCGCTGCAAAGAAGCAATTTTCGCCGAATTCCTTCGCCAACGCTTCGCCACGAGACTGCGGCAAATCGAGAATGACCACTTTCGCACCGTGGCTGATCAAATGGCGCGCTGTGCCAGCACCCAGTCCAGAGGCGCCGCCGCTGACCAGTGCAACAAGCCCCTGCAAACCGCTCAGTTCTGTACCGGCAATTTAACAACGCAAAATCGGACAAAAAAACTGGGCAAATTAATAATAACCTTAATGGGCGCCAAATAAGAAACCATTGGCGAAACGCCAAACCTGAAATACCTTCTATAAGCAGGACATAGCAAGGCACAGCAAAGAAAAAAACGAAGGCAGCACCAACAATCGCCACCAACACAGCAGTATCGCAACAGTGACTTGCGCACAGAGGGGGATACCAACGCACAGCAACACCTCAGCAACCACTCACTGATGGCTCGGTGCCGATTTAGCGTGAAGGATGCTGAAAACGCAGTAACAGTGGAGCGGAGGGACGGGGGTGGCTCGACAGAGCACAGCGAAGGCCAGCAACTGAATCGGAGCCAAGCGAAACGAGCAAGCGCAGAAGAGAGGAACGGAGAAAGCAAAGTCCACAGCCAGCAGCACATCGAAGCGACCAGGAAAAGACCGGAAGTGCGTTGCTGCACCGAGGAATCGTGCGCGCGAAAAGAAACACTGCGACCAGCGTTTTCAAACGTGACACAGTGATGACGCAGAACTTCGCCAAAGCACGGCCATCGAAGTTAGCAGGGAAATACGAAATTCCGAATGGAAGAACGCGCACCCGCAATCCGGATGCAAAGCCACTCAGCGCCACCTCGACGGCACCCATTTGCGACACAAGGGAGACGGGTTGCGATGAATTGAGGGTGTGGTAGACGGGCAAGGAAGAGGGCAGTGAGGGCCGGTGTGGTGGTTCAAGTCTCAGGGGTCGAAAGAGAAGGTGGCCGGATTACTATCTGCAAAGACCTTGCAGGTAGGAACTGAAAACAGCCAGAATTTACCAGGGACAATCGACACCCCGGATCCGCTTAGTTTTAAGCAATTAGAATAACGACAATTACGACAACTCGGCTCCGTTCGCCGCACCTCGGCTGATGATCTATGGTGTCTGAGCATCCCAGCGCTCCGCTCTATCATCTCTGCCACCACAATTTCGCGGCGACGCTCGCTGCAACTGTGCCAGACATACTGGGTAGCGCTGCCCAGTGTCTGGCGGCTGAGCCACGTGGCTGGAGAGGGCGGGGGGGAGGTGATGGGTGGGAGGACTGGATGTGGTTGCGGGGTGTTGGTTAGTTGTTGCCCAGGTACAACTCAGAGGGCATGACTGAGGCCAGGATAATGGGAAGGAATGAAGTTGCTGGTTAGGAGTCCAGGAGGATAAACGGTGATAGTGGTGGGAGGTGATGGGTGCCACGATGCGGCTCTGGAGGCAGGGATTGAGGACAAGATACAGGAGGGGAAGAAGGGTTCTAGTCAGAAATTGAAAGCAAGAACTGCAGATAGCAGTAACGAGGAAAATAAACCAACCCCCTACAAAAAAAAAAAGGTAAATTAAAACAAACCTGACTTTGTGAGTAAAGGAAACCCAAGGTGGAACGCACCAGGCGGGCCGGTACGATTATGCGTTTTTGCAGTTCTTGCGCCATAGCAAGATCGCAAGGAATCACAGTAGCTAAACCTCTGACATACTGGCCCTCGAAGCTCGTTAATTTAATTGTGCAACTATATGGTATGTCAGTTCCATGTGCCTGTACGTGGGCCCCGGGTGTTTCTAAACACCTGATTTTGCTAGTACATGAGTGGGGAACATTCCCTTAAAGTTTCAGTTTCCTAGTTCTTTCCGCTCCCGGATTAATAATTTTCACGCCAAAATTTCCACGTACTTGTACGTGGGCCTCGGGCGCTTCTAAACACCTGATTTTGCTCGCACATGAGTGGAAAACATTCCCTTAAAGTTTCAGCTTTCTGGCTCTTCTCGTTCCAGGATTAGTAATTTTCGCGCCAAAATTTCCACGTACTTGTACGTGGGCCCCGGGCGCTTCTAAACGCCTGATTTTGCTCGCACATGAGTGGGGAACATTCCCTTAAAGTTTCAGCTTCCTAGTTCTTCCCGCTCCCGGATTAGTAATTTTCGCGCAAAAATTTCCACGTGCTCGCACGTGGGTCCCGGGCGCTTCTGAACACCTGATTTTGGTCGTACATGT